ATGCTACCTCAAGCAGTAAACACCGAGTTATGACACTGGAATGCCAAATATTTAATATTGCGGTGATAAAACAACGTGTGTTCAGTACCATAGGACTGTTCCTGCCCAGAGCAGCCCACGAACTCCACGCGCAGCAAATACAAATTAAATGCTGACATCAGAGAAAGATTCTGTTTTGTTGTCAGAACAAAAAGCAAACAAACATTTTGTTGTAAGGAACAAAATGTTGACCTCTGCAAATTTGGGAAGACTTCAAGAAACAACATAACTGCGGAGAAAAATGTGCAGGGCAGCAGAATAAAGCCGTGTCTGGCCTCTAAAGGCTGACTCCCACGAGCCTACGCAGCTCCGCTCCCCTCCAGACTCCCCACACCTCTCTCGCCGCTTCCACACGCCCCACAGAGCAGCAAACCCAACGTAAAAATAAGTGGCAGACCGATGTGTATGCTACAATTTATCCCCAATCTCCACCATTCCGGAGTCACCGTAAATACACACACAGACAGATGCCCCCCTCCCACTTGTCAGCATCCCAAATTACGAAGGAAAAATAATTACCGAGCTGGATTGGCGGAGCGTATTCCAGAAAACTTCACAAAGTTCAGAGAGGGAGCTCAACAGAACGAGTCAAAATTCATCAGTCGCATACCAACTCGATTTTACGAATGCATTTGAAGTTTGCCATGGGGTCTCCAGGTCACGCATTTTAACCGCACCACCCGCTCCCTGGAGCCTCCAAACAATCAACATCGTGGGTTCTTCTGCTTGCTGACTGCACTGCCCGGGAGCCCCCCGTTACTGCGTGAGGTTAAACTCTCACAGGCTGTTGTTACTGATATTTACAGAAAAGAACTTTTACGAAAAAGCAACACAAATTTTAATCACTGAAAAGCTTAAGAGTTGCAAAAAGCATATAGTAAACCGTTGGAGCTTTTTAACGAGGGTTTTTTTTTGGTCAGACGTACCCCAGGCATTTCCAGACATGACTAAACTCCAAGATTCCCATTTCCAATTAACACACGCGTCTTACCCAACGAGCCCTTCCCCCCAGAGCCACTCAGCCTGAGATTACTTCAGAATCTGATGGTCTTTAGCAGAATATTTGGCCTACCTCCAGCTCCACCAGCCTTCACGCTTATTTTTACAGGCACAGCCTCCAGCTTTACGCTCTGGTATGCAACATAACACCCAAGTCCATTAAACTTTCCATCAAATACACATAAAATGGAACAACAGGTAATCAAGCTGTCGTCTGTTCTCTGTTAGGAGTGCTCTTCTTGCCCTGTTTGCACCATGGTATGAAACGTGGCTGATTTTCTCAAAGGGCTTTACAGTGCCCGTGCCCAGGATGGTACAAGAGGACCATCAGGGGTCCAGATCTGAATGGTCTTGGAAGGGGAGATCTTACAGAGAAGATCTGGAATTTCAAAAGGGTAGATGGAGCTGGCACTAGGATATCCAACATCAAACATTCAGCACCAAACATAACTACTGTGAAACAGACTAGAAAAGACAAAAATTGTATTCTCCTCCAGTGGAATGAGCCCATTTATCTTGTCATCTTTGGTTACAGGGAGAGATTTGGCACCGTTCGCTGATGGCTCGATGCGACTCTCACATTTCATAGAATCAGAGAATGGTTTGGGTTGGAAGGGACCTTTTGAGGCAGTCTAGTCCAACCCCCCTGCAGCGAGCAGGGACATCTTCAACTCAATCAGGTTGCTCAGAACCTCGTCCAACCTGGCCTTGAATGTTTCTGGGGATGGGGTGTCAACCAGCTCTCCGGGCAACCTGTGCCAGTGTTTCAGCACCCTCAGCGTGAAAAATTTCTTCCTTGTATCTAGCCTAAATCTACTCTCTTTTAGTATAAAACCACTACCCCTTGTCATATTGCAACAGGCCCTACTAAAAAGTTTCTCCCCACCTTTCTCATAAGCCCCCTTTGTTGATTTACCGATCAAGACCAGCTAACACGATTATGCAACGTCTCGCCAACTTTACAGCACTTTCAAAGCTATCCACATTACAGGTCTCATTCCTCACACCAAACCCTTTTGAAGCTTATAACCTCAGCTCCATTTTAAAACTAACATATGTAGCACAGACACGGCCGCCAGTCTCCAGAGAACTGCTTAGAAACTGATGTTGAGTAAGCCCTGGTTTACTGCTGTAGCAACATTTCGACCCACTCATATGGCTGCAGTTTGGCTTCATGTTTAAAACCTGGACACGACTTTTGGTAACGCCTACAACGGAGCACTGACACGAGGGCTGAACTTCACCCCACAACTGAGCCACCAAAGGATAAATCCATTCCTACTGTCCTCTGAAAGGGTCCCGAGAGGTCAGCTCGTGAAGCTTGTCAGAGCTGAAGCAACCTGCACTCTTTGTCAAGCGTCAACAGCAGCTCTTTAACAGTCCGGTTTGGTTTGCACAGCATGCAAACTATGGATTTTACATGGTAAACCAAACCTTATTTCCAGCTTTAACAAAGCCCTCACTGTGCTCAGCTGAGTCTAAAAACAGAAATGCAAAGTGCCGTTTTCATGACTGAGGTTTGGGGAGAAGAGCGTGGGTGGCAATAAGGGGAAGGGAGAGAAGAGTTTACGCTTGAAAATGAACATGCGGCGCTCACCACGAGCACCGTTCCAACTGTCGCTGTCTTAAAAGTTTTCTAAAATACCCAACGGGGGCATGAAATTTGCAGGGCAGCAGAACTCAGCTGATATGGAAAGGAGATAGCATTCCTTGAGTGATTTGGTAAATAAAACCATGCAGCATCACAAACTTGGTAGCTTATCTATTTGGTAGCAGCAGGTGGCACAGGCATTCACATTTATTCTTTCCACCGCTGATGTAGCGAATGTTTTAATACTTGCAAAGATCTGCAGCATTTTGCCTTCATAGTGTGGATTCACAAACTGTACTTGGAAGACCTTAAAAAAAAAAATTCACACGATCAAACTAACCTGGAGATAAAAAGGGTAAATGATAGCGCAACTAACTACAAGGGAATGATTCAGGAAAGAAAAAAACAAAAATCATAAAAACAAACAAAAAACCCACCACCAAAAAAATCCCTTAGTTTTGGCAGCAGTTCACCCTTCTCAGCAGAACATGTTGAAGTATTCGGCTTTGCCACCTGCCAGGCAAAGGATCCCGCTTCGCTAGAGAAAAGTGACGCCTGGTATCACTGCGCAGTCTAGGGCAGCTTCACAGCACAGGTCTCTATCCTTAATGCTTCAAATACAGCTTTCAAATACGACCCCAAGCTTGGGCAAGGTAGTAGTTCTCTTCAACCTCTAGGCAAATAGCTCCCTTTCCTTCTATTCTCCTCCATATTTTCTTGAGCTAAAGTAGAATGAGATGACTCAGAACCACCCTCTTGTGCTGTAGGTAGTAGGAATATAGAATTAACCCTAAAACTGACGTGAAACAGGTTAATTATACAAGCCACTGACTGGAAAAAACTCGGAATCCCACAAGAGGTAGCCACTGCAGCTGTTGAAGATGGAGAACGTGACAGAAGAAGGATGAAAGAGCAGCAAAGAGAAGCCTGATATCTGCCTGTACCAACATCTAAGGGTTATCAGGAGGGAGCAGACTAAACCTTCAAGGAAAACGGAAAATTTAAGACAACTTTGATTTTTTAAAATATATTTGTTTTAATTTTGGAAATGTAACTCTCAAAAGTATCAGGAAGGGTTTTTTTACCTTGTTGAAGAAATCTTTCTGCAAATACAGATCGTTTTGGTTTCTTCTCCAATCAGGTGTTAAGGGATACTGAGAATCCTTATCTTACTTTAATTTTCTGGTTAATTTAAATTGTCAGTCCGAACTTAAGGAGCAAGTAGGTGGAGGTGATATAACAGCAGATAACTGCACGTTACCAACGTAATGCCTCCAGAAAAGGGAACAGGCATAGTCAAGTAGGAAAATGGCTCCAGAAGAAAGATGCGGCAGACAATGAATAGCAGAGGTACAAAACCACAGGCTGTAACTAAGGGATAGAAGCAGCAAACAAAAATAACACAGATCCTCCCACGCTGGAGGATGGAAAGCAAGAAGTATAATGAAACCACAAAGGATCAAATGCTTAGCAAGAAGGAAAAACATAGTCACACTACAAATTTTAAAAAAGGAGGGGGAGCTAAGTTATAATTAAGTACAGAACACATCTATTTGATTGTAATAAGCTACAGACACAATCGCTTGCAGTTCATAGCTATACTTTGGCTTAAATATTTCAGCTTTAGTCTTAAAAGACTTGCCTTTCACCATCAGCCTTGGGAAGTCTCTACAAATCATTATGTTCACACGGCCGCAGCGGTATAGCAGATAAAATACTGTCCACATTTTAACAAAAATGGAACAAAGAAAGATGAAGCAGGAAATTAAAGGCTTAACTGGAATCACAATTTGCCTCTTCATTCCCAGGCTGTGTTTCAACTGCCAGTTCACAGCATCTCTCCTATTGAGATTAATATGCTTGAAGATTTTGAGTATTTCCATATATGTCCAAGTTCATCGCTTCTAGTTCAAAATCCAACCACTCTAATAAACGTAACTTCTTTGCAAATCAAAGCAGGCAACATTTAAGCTCGCCCTAGCATATTCCAAGCACATACTGTTTCTACACCAACCTGCTCTGACATCCTGGAAGTGCCTTCCCTGGAAGTGAATTATTTATAACTGCAACGTCTTCTGACAACAGCAGTATCAAAGTTACTGTCCTCATCAGTTCTGGAACTGTTTTTTATGTAAATCAGAGGTCCGTCACATTGTGCAATGGGGAAAAAGGAAAAATATCCCAGATGGAAAAGATCAAATGCAAACAATGCAGTACAGGAAAGACTACAGCACAAGTAAGGTTTAAAATATCCCTAATAAAACAGATTATGTTCAGACATTCAGTCTATGTGTATCCTTATAAATAAACACATATTTTAAGAATGACAATGTAACTCCTCAGAGGATGTTATTTCTTAATATATACTCACATATACTTCACTGTGATCAAAGCGCTTTTTCAGATTATCGATGAAAGTATCTTCATTCAGTGGCTCTAAAAGAACCATATCTCCTACCCCTATCATGTTGTCTAAAAGCGACGTCTTGACCTCCATTTTGGCCATTTTCTCCTGCAAAGAAAGAAACAAGGAGAAAAAAAAAAAAAAGAGTAAAGTCAGCTCAAAATTATTCTAATTATTCACAGGCATTATCCAGTAATGTGATTTGAGGAATACAAGTTAAAAGTCCTTTGAATGACACTGTTTTAAAATATTTTTCCAAGGAACATTCTCAAAGTCATTCGATCTACCCAGGCACTCCACACAATTCCAAAAGATTGACTTCTAGCAGTCAACAACGCCTTCTGGTCCACTACACATTAAATGTGAAACTGCACGAAACAGGAACGAAGATTCCATTGGGCACCACATCCACATTCTTAGGATGACTTCTACGCGGTGTTCAAGCGCATGCAAACCCAAGTTTTATCAGAAAGCTTCATCAACATCTCCAGTGTATCAAATTAGGGTTGAGATTTCTCAACACCCTAATCTGAATTTCTTTCTCAACCTTACTTGCATGTCTCCAACCTCACCAACACTTAAATAGAAACCAACTAAGTGAACTCACGCAGAGATGAAACCTGCGCTATTTTATCTTCCTTCGTACACCCCATACTCCAGAGTGGTGATATTCCAGTACAGTACTGCTCTCTTCGTTACGTGAGACTACCAAATCACTTCATCTCCTAACCAGACTTATTTGAATTTATCTGTAATTTTCTTGTTTAAGAGAGCGTTTTCGTCAGGCAGCAACAATCCAGGTGACAAGTGGATGCTCTGCATCTATGTAACTGGAGTGGCAAAAGGCAGAAGCCAGGCTTAAGCAGGGGACCGGGATCAAACAAAGTAACCAAGTCTGATAAACGAAGCAATCCAGACAAAGAAGTCAAGGTCAGGCCAAAACCTGACACCTATTTGATCCCCCCAGTCTTGTATCCTTCCAATCCAGACACTACAGAAGATTAACCGAGCTCCTCAGGAACTCCAGGCACACAGTCACTGCCTTCAGCTTCCATGACGAGACTGAAAAATGAACGTATCAGCAGTGGTGGCTGGCAAACGGGGAACTGGAGGCGGGAGAACAGCTTTGCTGGCAACACAAACCACGAAGCAACTCCTGCATAGCTACAGCAATACAAAGCAACAGCTGAACTTCACCCGCCGGCCGCAACCACCCAGCTACAAAACGCCATCAACCTGTCCTTGCTCCCCCTATCACCGCAGCATATTTTAATTCTATTTTTAACTCATTTTTCAAAACGTCTTTGAATAGCTATTAGCTTACGCAATCGCTGTTAACCTGCCATAGTAACTACCCATCAGATAACTATTGTAAAACAAGAGAAGCCTTTTATCTCTCGCTTCCGTGCACAGCCGCGGCGTTACTACGTGCTGTTTGATTTCTGAGCAGCGGGTGACGTTTGAGGGATGTTAGATCACGACGTAAGCAGCGTTTGAAGTTTCTCCCAACTCAGCGACGAGAAGTGCAGCTCCACAGGCAGCTAACAGAAGTGGCACAACAAGATCCCCAAAACCCGAACCGAGCCTGGGAATTACTAGAAATTCACACGGAAATGCAAAAACAGTGCTGAACTATGGTAACCAACCAAAGCTGAGTCAACTCTGCTAAACAAACAAAGAGCACTTCTTTTAAACAAAAACACTGGACAAATATTTTTGTAGAGAAAGATACTTTTTACGCTTTAAAAGTTCACCTCTCTGAATCATCAAAAAAATTTTAAACATTCACAAAATCTTTTCAGAGCTATCACTTCAACTGCTGCATCCTATTAAGACAAACTCTTTAAACTACCAGTCTTGTTTCAATGACCTAATTACTTCCCATACATCAGCTAATGCTCAAATAATTTTTGAAGGCTGAAAAAAAAAAAAAGCCTTCAAGTATGGAACTTATTAAATATCGGGTTTGAGCCAAAAAAAAAAAAAAGCCAACATAAAAATCCTAATATGGGCAATTTCAACCTAAAATTTAAGGTCTAAGCAGTATACCTCATCTACCACTGTGAAATTACATACCACCTACCACACTTCATGCATCACTGCTCGGGAATTTCAAGCCCAAGAGCAGCCAAACCCATCAAGAACATTCATGTGTTCCCAAGCGCAGAGGCACGTTTTGCAGAAGAGGTGCACAAACGCACCATATCTACTACTACAAGCTGGATCAGAAAGTTGTACACCAATTTTAACTCATCAATGTATTTGAAAAGTTTGATTTTATGGTCACAATTCAAATTTCAGCTTGGTTTTTTTCCACAATAATTTAACGCCGCACTATGGCTAAAATATTTCCACTAACTTGAGAGCTAAAAAATATTAGAAATGTAGGTGATGCAAAAAATTGGACAATATGCCTAGACATCTTGTTTAACGCTGAATTCCCAAAATCATTTGCAACAGCTTAGCCTCTGTAAAATATTCGTTAAAGATTACCCTCACACACTGACGTATGATTGGGGAATATTCTGCCATACCAACGCCGTTAGCCCCACTTTGGTGGAACCCAACCCTAACCCCTGCTCTGGTTTAGCTGACAACAAAGGAAAATCTGGTAAGCTTGCGGGATAATTTGGTTGCCTATCTGAGGTAACAACTGGAAGGGCAAAAAAAGCACTGTTAAGAAAAGCCAACAATGTTTGAACGTACACTGAACAATCCGATTTCATTTAATCTATAATTGAGTTTAATCCACTAGAAGAATTCAAGATCAATATATACAGCACTTCCAAAATGCCAACTACTAAATTTTTAAAAAAGCATTTAAAAATACTCAAAAATCAGCACAATACACAGAAACAAATAAAAAAATAAAAGCTAAATCAAACCCTTGTTACATTGCAAGACTGAACGTCAGTCAAGATTTTCAGCACTACGTCGCTAAGCTCAGAAACCCAACCCATGCCCAAGTGCTTGCATTTGCCATCTATTCAGAGACGCCTTGCAGCTGGAAATCTCTTCCCACCAGTGCTGCTGATGGCTTGCTCACCACCACAGTTTGGAGAACCGAACGGAAAAACAAGTGGCTTCTACCAATATTTGTACTCATGCGCCTTAAAATAGACGAACGTTTCTCAAGAACCACTTTCAAGCACCAGAACGACGAGAGGGACGGGACTGAAACACGCTCCCCGTGTCTGAGAGATCCGTAATGACCAAACCCACAGCTGTGCTGGTCAGACAGAGCCGGCAAATGGGGAAATAGGAAAGGACCGGTATGGGTTGCATCCTCTAAAACAAGGGCACCTTTCACGATTTTCAGATTGCCGAACGGGGGAAGGTGGATGGAGGCACTGCTGTGAGGCTCTGCTTGAACAGTCCTGTAATTTCAAACTGGAAATTGAATAAAGAATAACCTAAAACACAAGTGGCGCTCCTTCAATTTACCTAATACATCGCTTTTGTGACTGCAAGATCTCGTTCTGTTGACACCAAGAAAAACAAGTGTTGTATAAAAATTACAGCTGCAAATTACTAATACAGCAACAAATAGTTCAGCAAAAGCCACAAAGTTCTCCCAACGCTTGCAGTCTGCAAACCAAGATTTTTCTTCAAACACTCCCCGATCTCTCTGACACCCACTTACCCCTCAAGCCTTCTCCCAAATTTACCTTTCTTATCCCTAAAGCAAACTTCAGCAGCATTTCAGAGCATCTCCCTTTTCCTTAGTCACTTGTCAAATCTGTTCTTCCTCTCTTTGCTCTCGTATCGAGGCCTTCATTCAACGGAGGGAGAACATTTCCAACACGTTCCCGTTCTCAGAAGACTAAAAGAGATGATTCAGTCATCCTTCGCAGCTTGGTCTGCTTCACGCTGGACACCAGGCTCGGGAGGGGAGAAGGGCTGGGCGCGTGAGACGCTTTTACCCGCGCGCTCCCCGCCCCGCGCAGCCTTTCGACAGGCAGCCTGCCGCATCCTCGACTCACATTGCCTGGCACGGCCACCCAGCCGAACCCAAAGCCTTCGTGTCCCTCTCGGCCACCAGGATGGCAAATTAAAAACTACACTGCTCCGCAGCCACAGCAGTGTTATCATCCGCCAGGCTGAAAGAAGAGCTCATGAAAACTATACATAGAAGATGATACAGAGAACAAAAGCCCCAAAGCCTTGTACAATTAAGTTCATACATTCTCCAAGGGGGAAATGAAGTAATACAGAGCACGTCAGGGAATTGTCCAAGCTTTTCCACATCATCCTCACACAGTGAAGCGGCAGCACTCGTCCACAGCTTCCTGCAGACGTGCAGTCCTTGGCACACGGTCGCGTCTGCTGCACCGGAGTTATCGCCGGCTGCAGAGGCACCTCATTTTTCTCCTTTTGAGGCATCGTAGCAAAAGGACAATTCCCCTACTGTCAAAATTAACACAACAGATGTGCTCACATACGCTTCAAGCTATTATAAAACAAAAACAGAAAAGCACCTTTGGTTTCACTGCCACCAACTCACTGTAGAAAACAACCACCTTCTTCTTTTATAAGAGTTGACAGGGACAACCGGCGACATCAGTAATTCAGCAGCGGAGTTCAAACTGATTTCACGTTCCAGGTCTGACCCTGAGCCCCTGCCAGGCTGTAATGATGCTTGCCCACTCGCTCCCATCTTTTCCTCTGCCAGGGAGCAATCGGCCCACACAGAGCGGGGACACGGACAGGCCACCGACGCAAAAAGGAGCAGCCAGGGAGACAGCGTCACTACCTGAACAAAACCACGTCCAAAGGGACTACAGCCGTCTTGTACTACTCACGATGAGCTAAGTGCCAATTTAGGGAGAGGCAGGATCAAATCCATCCTGCCCTGCTGCCCAGCAAACCCTGCGTATCGCTGGCCTCTGACCGATGCCCAGCAGGCACACGCTCATGGCAAACACCTTGTGCTGTTCCCCAGGTAAACCGAGGCAGACTCCGCAGCTGAATTAATAAAGCGCCCTTTTGATTCAAAATTAGATTTCCCAACAGCAGCCAGTATGAAAAAATGTTGATATTGCCCAAAGAAAATCTTTGCTTCCCCTCCAGACCCCCTAACTTTTTCAGTCTCTGGCTGCTAG